TTAATGCTTATTAAAGTTTAAGTTAATAATTCAAGAGCTGCGAGTGATTTTTCTCTGCCTTTTGTTGTGTTTGATTCCCATTACTGGCTCAATCGTCACATGTTTATTAGACTACTGCCCCTTTAAGACCGAGTGCGGATCTAACAGATGACTGATGCACCACCATATCCTCCCAACTATTCACATCCATTTAAGACATAAACTGTGTTTAAATGAATCTCAGAGCAGGTCATTTTAGATTTTATGTATATTTGATAGTTTAGCTGCGCACATGAAGCCCAAAATGAGGCTATAGCCTACTTTTCTTGTCCCGTTGCAGTGCATTTCGGAGCACGCATCACCTTGTGAACAGCGTCTCTTGCGCAGACTTTTGTGCTTTTAATAGCTCTTTTAATGATTGAACCCGTACGCAGTTTAGCAACAGTACAGACTGCATTTTACAACAATTACCGATCGTGCTGATTCTGACGGTACGTTTGGGTTTTAGGAAGAAATGACAGCGCAACGCTGTGAAGGGAAGGAAGTTGCGCTATAGACAGAATGCGTCTGTAATGGTTTCATCTCAAATATCTTTATATAATATTTGAAAGCGGAAATCTAAAATACAATTAGAATAATATCCCAGATCTAAAGTGTAGGTAACCACGTTCTGTCCTCATTGTCACTCATTAAGCAGGGCTGTCATCATGTGGTTCGCGCTGTGGCTCCGGGTGAGAGATCGCTCTCTCTCTTTTGGACTGGGAATAGCAAAATTGCATCAGACAAATTGTTTAATATTATTATTATATATAGAAATGGTTGATATTCAGCCCATTTAATACCGGGTTTACCAAGCGGGAACACTGAATGAAACGAAGCGAACCTATAAGCCTTATAGACAGTGTGACACGGGTAAACCAATCGTGTAAACATAATCAGATGACTATGACGCCATGGGTTTTTATTTAAAAGAAAGAACGTAGGCTAGCCTACGTTTGTAGACATAAGCAACTTTCACAATACTAACTAAAATATCATTTTATGGAATTTGAATTAGTCGTTTGAAGAGTAAAAAAAAAAAAAAAATCGGTCGGTCTGAACGCAAGTTACAACTGGCAAGTCGGTCGGACTAAAAGGGAAAAAAAAATAAAAAATTGGGTCGGCCCTAAATTGACAGGGTCGGTCGGGTTACGGCAAACAAGAATATTTTTAAGGGTGGCCTTATATAAATATAAATATTTTATATATGAATAACACATTTTCTTAAATATATACATGCATGTGTGTGTATTTATATATACAAAATTATTATATACAGCACACACAAATATATTATGTAAACACAGACTTTTATTTTGGATGCGATTAATCGCAATTAATTTTTGCACAGCCCTAATATATATATATATATATATATAGTGCCAGGAATCACTTGAGTAGCACTTACATACACCAACGTTTACAGTTTAATCCTGACTATAATCTGAGGGTTTGTACTGAAGGATTTATTCATATATAATTTGGTTTATATATATATGGTTTATATACCATATATATATATATATGTCATTATCAAATATTCACACATACATTTTCACCATATTTTTAGCCACATTTGCAAATATACATAATAATTTGAATGTACTTAAAGGGATAGTTCACCCAAAAGAAATGTAATTCTGTAATCATTTAAAGGCTGTGAGGGCTGTGTTATTGGGTTGTTCTGTTATTTATTGTGTTTTTAGATTGTTCTGCTGACAAAACACTGCAAAAATATCTTTCCAAGGAATTTCAGTAGACAAAAAACTCCAGACAACATGAGCTGTGGAAAAATATAAGTGATCTAGGAGCTTTATATAGCTTTTTATAGTGGATGCCATTGAAAACACGTTAAGTCTATCACTCACAGCCTCGTTTTCTTACGCACAACCGGCACATCCGGGAACTTAACTGTCAATTTTGTCCCCGCCCCCTTTTGGGGGAAAACAAACAAGACTCCCCATAGACTTCAATACAAAATAACGGCAAAAACCAACGTCCGTACACAGCCAACAGGTGTAAATAACTTAAGAAATCACTTATATAAAACATTTCAAGTAATTATATGTCCACCCTGCCTGCCATAGAGCGTGAACGATACATACACAAACTTACATGTCCACACTAATACGTTTTCGTTTGAAAACGTATATTTTTCTCTCCGTTTTGGCCTTCCGTCCACACTGAGACGCCGTTTTAAGTCAACAAAAACGTATCGTTTGGAAAACGCTCTCCAAAGTGGATAAATTTGAAAATGCCGTTTTCGCGTTGTAGTGTGGACAGTGAAACCGGAGGTATTTCAAAACGAAGTTTAGTCATGTGATCCATGTAGTACCAATAGATATTCATGTTTATCGGTATTGTGCCTGTTATGTTTTATTCATTTTTACACTGTTGCTAAAATATGTTACTTCCTATGTTACTTAATATGTGCTATTCTTCATAGCTCAGTACTGCAAAGATGACAGATAATGTACTTACATTTGCTGTCCTGCGGCAAAACAGACCTGCTGTCCTTGCGTTTTAGACCAAACATATGGTGACTGAATGCAACCTGGACGCATCAGTGATGGTGAGATATTTTGCTAAATAAGATTATCCTGTTATTGTGCGATAACATTATTATTTATTTCCCCATCTGTATCATCTCAGTGAGCTTTTGTGAAGTTTCACGCATGCGCAGTAAAGTGAATTTAGAAGTTTCTCATCCACACTGAAACGTCGGAAAACGGCTGAAAACGCTAGTGTGGACGGAGAGCGTTTTTAAACGAAAACCCCGTTTTCAAATGTATCCGGATTAATGTGGACGTAGCCCTAATTTGGTCAATTTAAAAACATGTCCCTTTGTTCTCCCAGCGTCAAATTGATGTAACAACCCCACCCAGTGGCCAGAGGTGTCTTACCCGGACATTTACTTGTACATCGAGTCACCAGGTAAGCCAGCGAATGATTTTATTTATTTTTTTAAAGTAAAAAACCTTAATGTATATATTATGAATTTATATTTAGAGTAGTCTACTGAGTGCACTTTTCTGTCCAGCCATACAACTAGCCTAACTTAGCTTTCGATAGCATCATCCGTAATTCATGATATTTCCATAACAGCAAGATATGGATGATGATGATGATGGCAGGTAGCCTGGGCTAGTTGGTAAACGGGTAAAAAAATTATCTTTCACGCTCTATGGCAGGCAAGCTGGACATGTAATTACTTGACATATTTTATATAAGTGATTTCTTAAGTTATTTACGCCTGTCGGCTGTGTACGGACGTAGGTTTTTGCCGTTATTTTATATTGAAGTCTATGGGGAGTCTAGTTTGTTTTCCCTCAAAAGTGGGCGGGGACAAAATTGACAGTTAAGTTCCCGGATGTGCCGGTTGTGAGTATACCAGGCAACTGTTTGGTTGCCAACATTCTTCAAAATATCCTTTTCTGAGTTTGCAGTCACTTACCATCCTCTTTTAATGATCTGCGTTTGCCATGTGAAGACGAGGGAGATGCACCTCGGCCATCCGGGGTCTCAAATATTGAAGGCGTCACGTCTAAATAGGAATAAAATCATGAGTAATTGATGACATGCAAAACACAGTAGTGATTATCATTAATAATCAACCATGCACAGTAAGAAACGTCACTCACGGGGCACATAGGTGCGTGGGGTGAATTTAGCCATCGCAGCCCCGTATTTGATGGCTATCTCTCTCATCCGCTCCAGATCTCCGTTCTCCTCTGCCTCCAGATAATCCTTCTGCGCTTGAAGTTTGGAGACATCTGGGAAAAAGTCCCTCTGGATGATCTTCTCCAAACTCTTCAGAACAAATTGTGACAGATATATGTCATTAGCAAATCAAGACGGAAGAACTATGCAGATATACGAGTTTACAAGTGACACATGAAACTCAAGCTGCAGTTGCAGGGGGTTTGGTGTTTTGTGTAAACTATGTTTATGTTGTTGATGGTTACCACCTTTTTTAATAATAAAAAAACTGTCATTAAAACTGTATAATTCAACGAATTATTAAATGATTAAGTATAATACTATGAATTATTTCAGGACATCCGTTGTATATAATAACATTCATATGATATAGCATTGTCTTACCTCTATGTATTGCTCTTCATCGAGAATTTTTTTCTTCGGCCTCTCAGTCTGTTCTACAGGATTCCTGACAGCGACTGTAGTAATACCAGACATCAGATTCAAAGCTTTCTCTTTGGACTCTTCCATATTTTTATTTTAATAGACGAAACTCTTATTTACAGTGAGCTAAACCGCAATTATTACGCAAGACGTTGTTTACGTTAGCCTCTACGCTAAGTATTCGTTTTTTTTTCTCTATTTGAATATCATTGGGATGTCTTTGCCTACTATATCAATAGATCGCGGTAGATGTTGGTGTTTACAACCACTTAATCAAGAATAATAACGAAAATCCATTTAATAACAAGTGAACGTCGTCACATCGCATGCAGGAACAGTATCTTCTTCGCCTTCGCATTATTTCCACTGAACAAAGAACTACAGAGACTCTCTATCGCCACCTATTTGACTAGCGACCGCATTTGCATGAACTTCGATATAATGGGACTAGTTCATTCAAAAATGAATATTCTGTCACCATTTACTCACCCTGAAGTTGTTCCAAACCTTTGAGTTTCTTTCTTCTGTTGAATTCAAAAGAAGATATTTTGATGAATTCTGGTAACCAGACAGTTGATGGTAGCCAATGATTTCCAAAGTATTTTTTTTCTGTGGAAGTTAGCCTAGCTGTCAATTGTTGTATTACCGCCATTTTTTTTTTTTTTAAATATCTCCTTTTACGTTCAACAGAAGAAAGAAACTCATAAAGGTTTGGAGCAACTTGAAGGTGAGTAAATTATGACGTCGTTTTCGTTTTTTAGGGGAACTATCCCTTTAAGTTGCTTATCATTACTAGTACACGTAAACATTAATAATAATACACCCCACAGTACACGTTGTTAAGCAAGAAACATATTATTTATTTTCAGTCCATAAGTGAAATAAAAAGAATGCCAGTTTTCAAAGCCTTTAATACAACTTAAGGCAAAAAAAAAAAAAAAAAAAAACACCACAGGTGATGTGAAAGGGTAAATATGTTTACTAATAGATATCACCACAGTGGATTAATCACAGTACATTAAAACAACTATTTTGTATTTCTGAAATGTTATGTTTAAATATGAAAATGAGCCATTATATAATTAAATATGCACATATATGCATACATTTACAGAACAGAAATTTGAATGTTGGATAAAGTTCAAAATTCTGGTTAAATTTTGTTGACTTTAGATTGCGCAAAATACACATTTAGGTGTTTATTTTATTACACTTGCCCCTGGTTTCACAGACAGGGCTTAAATTTAGCCCGGATTAGGCCTTATAGTTCAATTAAGACAATTAAGCTTTGTCTGTGAAGTGTAATAAAATAAACACCATTTCAAATGCAATATTTTCACTGGTCTGATCTGCCCAAAATCTCAAAAACTGACCAATTCTACTGACAATGGTTTTCCTTGTAGTGTCTCTTGCCTTAATAGATGCTATTTTACATGAAGATGTTCGCATTTAACTAATAAAAAATGCAAAGCTTCAGAACCTTCAAATGAACCTCATGGCTACAGAAAATCACATACAAAATAAAAATTAAAGTCCAACAACAATATGTTATGGAAAGCAACAGAGAATAGTCTGAATAGTCTTTCTTGAAAGAACAAGACAATTAATATGTTTTTCCTCCCTATTTACATCTGCCCATCTCCCTCAAGTTCTTCGTTCTGCTGAACACAAAGGAAGATATTTTGAAGAAAGTTTGTAACTAAATGGACCCCCTTGACTTCCATGCTATTTTCCCCCCATACTATGGATGTTTAGTTTTTAATCGTTCTTCAAAATATCTTCCTTTGTGTTCAACAGAAGAAAAACTCATACAGGTTTGGAACAGCATGAGGGTGAGTAAATGACAGAATTTTTGGATCTTTAACAGTCTGAATGACTCATTGCCATGTGTTACAGTAAATACAGAAGCCAGTCTGTCTGAAACTGGTTGCAATGGCATATGACCAACATAAAGGTCTGAATCATTTCCAGTATGAACAGAAGTGGATGGCATAAGTGAGAGAGAAAAAAAATCCTTGGTATTTTGTCTGGTTTTCCTTTACAAATATACAGTAATTCAAAAATCAGATACTTTTATTTGAGAACGAAAATTAAGATACTATGTCTTGTTTTCTGAAAACTTAATCGAAATTAAGCAAGTTTATGCTTAAAACAATAATATCTGTCAATGGGGTAAGATACACATTTTGTTACAAGTAAATGTTTCTTGATTTGAGGATGTTTAGATATTTGTACTAGAACACTTTTTGTTTTGAAGTGAACACTAAAACTGTTTTTAGGTGAAGTGTGTAATTTTTACAACATCAAACAGAGTTAACCTTTTTTAAATAAATGGAAGCTCACAGAAGCCATGCATTTCAATGTTTCTGTTATGCTTTCATAAGATCTTATCTTTATTTACGAAACACGCTTGATGCTGCTGGTTTTAAAAATTATGCACCTCAACTTTAAGCTTTTACTGGTCACATTTGGATATTATTTTTTCGGAATTCAACCAATAAATACAGACTGTTAAGACACGGTAATAGAGGCCAAGTGTAGCAATGATCGGCGCTAGACTTTTGACCCATTAGAAGCTCCTTGGCAAGTTTATCAGTCACTGTGAGGTCAAGAGCAAAGGCACATTTTCCAAAGCAGCAACAATGACATCACCGCAAATCCAGCACGGTCACACTTCCGTCTGTGATGATGACGTGTTGACTAGCCTGAACACAAAACAGACACAAAACCTTCTATTTGGTGCACATTCAATATGGCGGAAGGACACAGCTAGATCATTCACATTTAATTAAATAGTGAAGTTCAATGTTTAGAGGTTTCTTAAAATCAGGGGTTTTCAATCGTTTAGATGGATGGACCTTGTGTCGCACAGGGTTGAGTCCGAAATTCCATAATCTCTCGAGTTGGTACTTATTTTCGTTATTTTTAGTAATTACTTAAAACCGATAAGAACCATGTTCAATAAAGTATGAGTGCGTATGTAATCCAGAGATACTACATCTGTCATGTGAGCTGCCAGCATCAGTTGTGTGTATATAGTGTGGGATTTCGAATGCAGCCGAAACCATCGCCCCCTGGTGGCTGGCTGTAGTATAAACAAAAAAAAAATCCCATTATTACACTGATGTATGTTTAGGTATCGGTTCCCAACAGGGGGGTCGCGGCCCACAAGGGGGCCTCAGCGAGCTCTGTGGGGGTTGCGTCATATTTTGATAGTTTGAGCAATGAGGATTAAATAAAAGTTAACAACTTTTTTCTGTTCAAAATTTACAAAATGTATATAATGAGCGAGTTCGACATAAATCCATTTTCCAATCCATGTTTTTGTCGTATCCTGAACCACTATGGTACACCTATAACAAGTGTTTACATTGGGACTATTTTACACTGGTTCAGATCGCTGCCGCTACGGAGTAGCCCAGTACCTGCGTGACTCATCATAGATGTACACAGAGAGAAGTAGTTCCGGCTACACTGTTCTTTCCGAAAGACACATTATTCTGTTAATAAATGCAAGTTTATTATCACTCGCTATAGCGCCAAAAGCGTAAAAATAAAGCCTCACATTGCTAAAGCCTCACAAATAACTTGCAAGTATTGAGGCCTCAGACAGCAGTCATTCAGTAATAGCCTTTATTCTTTCTTATTTTTTTTTTACCTACACACAACCTTTTTTTGTCTGAGACCCCCTTTTGCAGCAAGGATGACAAAATATGTTTTTTTCAAACAAACTTTATGTTTATGCACAAATAATAGCCTGTAACATTGGAAATTCAATAACAAAAACATCAGTAGGCCCTTTGTAATTTAAAACATATTTTGTCATCCTTGCTGCAAGCTTACAAGAGCGATAATATCATTAAATGTGAAGGGGGGCTCAAAAATATTTTCTTGGGAAAAAGGGGGTCTCAGACAAAAAAAGGTTGGGAACCACTGTGGTTAGGTGTTTGTCTCTCCAGTAAGTTTATTTTTAGTTATTTATTTGATGCTTGAAAACTGTGTTGTTATGTCATGACTGTGCTTGCGATTGAGAAAGGGTGGGAACTTGATACAGCGGCTTTATCAGAAATCGCATACTACCCTAGTGTAGTGTTCTTTTAGTTTTTTATTATGGCTTTATTTATATTTTAAATGAGCTTTTATCTTTATATTTTTAGTTTTCTTGTTAATTGTAGTTGAATTTTTTGTGATTTCATTTTTGTCACTTTTGTCACAAATATTGCTATTTGGGTTTAATTGATTTTTATTTCAGTTTTATTTTTTCCAGTTAAAGGTGCAGTATGTAATACAGTGGTTGAAATAGGTACTGTCTGCAGTCCGAATTCAAAATATTCTTCTTCAGACTCCCCGCTCATGTGAGATGCCAGTTTGACAAAAATGCAACAGGAATGAGCACAATTGACAAATGAAGGCGGCGAGCCTTACAATGCAAGTTGATAAATGGATTTATCCACGTTTTAATATTCTCCCGTTCATGGAGATTTTAAGATGGATGCCAAGGCATTTTAGGTCAGGTGGAATCTGCGACCTCTGACCTAGTTTGTTTGCTGGCATCTATACGCTGTAATTTCCACTATTGTTCACTATTGGCAGTGGGCGAGATCACAGACCAAAACAAAAACAGACATTCTGACACGGAACGCATATTTCAAAGTAAAAAAACTGACACTAGCATTGTTTTTCAGAGAAACCATTAGGTGAACTTAGCAAATTTTCTAAATATCTGTAAACATATAGTTTTTATGCTTTTGTACAGTAAAAAAATGCTTTATTTCTATTAACAGAAACGTTTTCATATACTTAAAAAATATAAGAATCATTTTATTTGTATTGTTACATTACTGTAGTGTATTATTTATTTAGATATCAATTTATTTGTTTTAATCAGTGTTTTATTTATTTTATTATTTACTATTTATTTATTATTTTACTTACTTATTTTTATTTTATTTTATTATTTGTAACTTATTTTTTATTATTATTATTTATTATTTTTTATGTAATGTAAGAAATTTATTTCAAATAAACATAAAAAGGCCCTGATATGTCACTAGACATTAAGCCAGGATATTGTCATTTAAAAAGTGAAGTTGCGGCCCTCAACTGATGTTGATGTTGTCATGTCGTGTTTTGTTCTGATGCTCCACCCTCCACCGATCTACCAATCACGGAGTCAGTAGTGTTGCGGCATTCGGGTTGCCAGCTCTGCTCCAGTTACAGAAGCTGCAGCTACAAAGGTGTCGAATCAAAAAATGTTTGATCCTGCAGTCTATCTGGCAACCTTGAGTCAGGGGGGAGGGGATACAACGCTATACAGTAATTTGAAAGTGATTCCAGTACCAGTTTTGGGCACAACCTTACATACGGCTCCTTTAAATGTTAAACTGTTTTTCTTTATACTTTTCCACAGACCCCCTAGCACTCCCTGGACCCCAGTTTGAAAACCCCTGGTTTGACTCACTAATAAGGCATTACTCACGGAGAACAGGGGCGGCTCCTTTGGATGCGGGTGGAATCCTCTTTGTTTGCAGGACGAGATCTCATCCATCCCATTGTCTGTCAGCCGAAAGTAGCCCGTCCTGGAGCACATGTTATCAGACTGTTATTGCTCCATTTTACCTGCCAACTGTCATGTAAAATGACTAGCACAACGTTTAGGTGAAAACATACTCATTAAATTTAGGCGAGCACACAATGGCTATAGACTCTGGAAGCATCATCTGATAAGAGCAATGTGTGTGCATGTCCACACTGGATAAAAAGGCCGTCTGGGTGGGATGGGTCTTACAGAAAAGAAAAAGAGAGATTGATTATTGACAAGCTACATTATTGTCTCATTATAAGTCATGCTTTCAGTACAGAAAACTCCATACATGAATCCAGCCCAGTGTAATGAGATCGTTCTGATCCTGGATCAGGAAAAGTTCCTCCTCGTTCTCTGTGTCACAGTAATCTGGTCCTCCACTCTGCTTGGGCACGATCACGTGTGTTACTGTGAAGGCGTTCTTCATCTGGAACACAAGCACACTGTTTTGTGCTTTACTCATAATACAATGGATTTGTTTAGGTTCAGTTATTTAGATTGCAGTTTGCCAAAATTAAATTATATTTAAGAGGTATTATGTGAGTTTTATGTACACTACCGTTTAAAAGTTTGCCGTCTGAATTATATATGTATTTTTTGAAAGAAATTAATACTTTTATTGAATTGATCAGAAGTGACGGTAAAGACATTCATAATGTTACAAAAGATTTAAATTTCAAAAATAAATGCTGAAAATTCTTTATCAAACTTTATATTCATCAAAGAATCCTGAAAAAAATTATCACTGTTTCCAGAAAAAAATTAAGAGAAAAAAAAGTAAGTTTTATATATATATTTTTAAATAACTAATAAATTAAAGACAAATACTACCATTGTATGAATACAATTTAATAGTTATAATAATTTAACATTTATGTTACAATAAAAATGTGCTTAGATATCTTATCAAATCTAAGCAAACAAACTAAAAATGAGCTATTTATTTTTACAGCATTTATCAACCTTTGTTAATGTTAGTTAATAAAAATGCCCATGCTCATCTTAGTTCACAGTGCATTAACTAATGTAAACCGGTACAACATTGAATCTTACAAATGTAGTAGTAAATGTTGAGATTATCATTAACTAAAGATTAATAAATGATGTAGAAGTATTGTTCATTCTTAGTTAACTAATGTTAACAAATGACACCTTGTTGTAAAGTGTTACTATTAAAGAATATCCAGATCAGATCCAGAGGGATTAAAACAACTAGAACTTGGGGTAAAATCTTCTTATTGTAATGAAAATATATGTATAAAATATCATAATATCATAAAAATAAGCTTTATTTTCTTTATATATATATATATATGAAGAGCTCTTTTCCAAAACGCCATTTAAAAAAAAAACGAGTTTGTCGTGTCATTCTGCTGTGGACAGAACCCTTTCACTGCTCCATCAACGTTTCATGCCAAACCGCTATATTTCCTTGTTTAAAATGTACTGCAAGATACAGTTTATTTCCAAACCGCGATAAGCGCCAGCCCTGTTTTTAGCCTAAACACGATAAATCCTCAAATTCAATGAGCGCTCTACACAATCCAGCACGGCGGCACTCTGAACAGAGGTTTATTATGTTCATTTATTCCTCAAAATGAGTCCTAGTTTTCTAGTCGACTAGTAGTAGATCATTTAAGCCATTTGTATTATCAGTAATCACATATATTGATTTAATTAAATGGGAGAGAAACCATATGAGCGTTTTTAATTGCCTATTCCGCATCTCAACGTATGCATAAAGCTTGCCACAAAGAACCGGCAAAAGTAATGATTATGCATGAAACATTTGAATTGTTTATTAATAAACTAGTGTTTTCTGTCAGTGTCAGCAACAAAGATAAAGTTGATGATGCTTACTCGCCATCTTCGCAGTGAACGCGCATAGGCCTAGAGAAACGCATACTTCGAATTAGCCTACATAGGCAGAGAGTTGCCAGTTTATTTTAGTTTTTAATTGTTTTGTTTAAAAGTAGATATTTAAAGCTTTCTGTAGCTTAGTTCTCAGGCCTGTGTGAGGCAAGCATCGCGGTGTTTCGGTTCATATTATGAGACGCGCTCCGGTTCACCTGCGCGCCTCTGTGTCCTGATTATATTGTCTGATATTTACTTCTGATGTATTAATCCAGTCAATTTGTCGATGAAACATTTATTAAAATGAAGATACAATTTATATGAAATGAAATTTACAAGCTTTCTACAAAACAAAACTTAATAAGTGGTCAAAATCATGTCTGACGCACTCCAAATATTTTCCGATATTGGGCAGCTTTTGAATTTTGATCCTATCTTACTCATCTCATGCGGTTCCCTTTTCATAGCCTACTCAACATAGATGAAATAATAAAAATAAGTAATGTAATATTATTAAAAACAAATGTGAAACGTAGCCTATGTTTATTTTGTTTTTTTAACTTATATTTAAGCGTCATGCTGCTCCGCTTTGCTCACATGTTATGTAGCCTGTGTGTGCATGTGCTGGTGGGGTGCCCATCCCTTTTTTGAATATCGTTATCATATATTGATCATTTTTAATAATTCCTTTTTTTCATGCATATGTTGAAATTGGTACTATTTGTTTGAGGTTTGACTCTTTACTAAAAATGACTTTACTAAAAATGATACAAAAAATGGATGGATTTATAGCGTTTTGGAAAAAAATAAAATTAACTTTTAAATTATCATTAACAATATTGTTGTTTGATTTAATAATTATTGTTCAAAATGTTCAGACTGAACCAATAAAACATTTAAACAGGATAATTTGAATATTCACAAAATGTGTGGGTCTAGGTAAAAAAATTTAGTTTTCCTGAAAACTATTGAAATGGATTTATAGCGTTTTGGAAAAGAGCTCTTCATATATTCCCCTTCATTTTTGGGGTGAAATATAAACCAGACATGCTTTTGTGAGATTGACCAAACTAGAACTGTATTATTTTTGTTTGTGTCTGAAAATGTTTTGCACGTACCAGTTTGCCACAGAGAATCCCACAGGTCTCCACAGCCCGTGCTGTGTTGGCTTCTGCCAGCTTTAAAAACCTTTGGCACAGCTCGGCGGGGACAAAGAGCTGCCGCAAGCCGTTTACCAACACACCTAAGGAAACACACACACACACCATATAATCTCAACCTAATGACAGGACAACAGAATAATAGTACTGCCACATATGTCAAATGATAAATAAGGAAGTGCAAACTAGAGGCTGACTTTTTTCAGGAATGTTTGGGAAACAAAATCACTATGCATCACGGGATTGGGACGGGAGAGAAAAAAATTTCAGCGGGAGTGGGCGGGACCGGGAATTTTTATAAAACTATGATACCCTCCTTTATACACAAATATACAGTTTCTATAAATACATTTTGAACTAAATTATATTTTCCATGTCTCTTTATGCTCTCCTGTTTGCTTTGGTGTGGCTGGTAATGTGAATGAAATGCTCTACACACCCGTACCAGTTGGTGGCTGTAATATAGCTGCCAACTCTCATGCATATTGGCCATGAGACATATGATTGGTTTCACACATACACACTTAGATCAAACACTTAAATCACTCTTGCCACTGCTGGAATTATGGATTTACAAGATTGCTCACTACTGCACTATGTTGGTTTGTTTGTATGTATGTCTGACTGTTAAATAAAAAAAAAAAAGATTGGTTTCACACGCTCACCCGCCACACCCCTGATTTCTCACGCTAAAGTGTCAACCTGGCCGGTCAAATGCCTAAAAGATGAGTTTTTCAATATATCTACCAATATCAACCTGTTGAGCCACTCGCGATCAAGTAGTTATGCCGCAAATGAGTTAAATTCTCCCGGAATCTAGAGCGAATGCGCACGCGAGACAGAGACTGTGCTTCAAACCGCCTAGCGCATGTACACGCACACAAGGCAGAGAAGGAAAACGAGCGAGAGACCTTGGGAGTGCGCGTGTCATCCAAACTACCCAGTTTTACAATTATTTTTCTGTAACTGACAGATTTCGGTAAAAAAAAAAAAACAATACGGGAGTGGGAGGGAATATGAGTCATTCTGGGATTGGAACGGGACAGGTTTTTTTTGTGGGAGTGGGACGGGAGAGGATTATTTTTTTTGTGGGAGTGGGACGGGAGTGGTTTGAAAATCCAAACTGAAAGCTCTTACTGTGTCCTGCACTGACTGGAACACTAGGCTTCAACGAGCGGTCAAACGCTGGGAGGCCTGAGCTTGGAGAGACGTGGTTTGGGGTTCCTCCAGGGGGCGTCAGTGGTGAAAACGAGGCCTGTGGAGGTCCTGGTACATCAGGCACCAGGAGATCTCGGGGAGAGGTGGGTGACACCGGGACGCTGAACTCCTGCACTATGCGCTGGCGCTCCTTCTCAAGCTCCTGCCTGCGGATCATTTCCTCAAAGGCGCTGAGCTGCTGCTTCTCGCGCTGACGCTCCTGCAGCTCGGCCAATCTCTGGCGCTCGGCCTCCAGCTCCTGCTGCCTGGCCACTTCTCGAGCCCGGGCCTCATCCGCCGCTCTCTGACAGGGTGCACACACTTGTCAATAAACACATTTGAAGCAGTTCGTAGCCTCTAAATGTTACTGACCTTTTGGATGAGATATTCACTATGTTCTTTATCGTACTGCTTGAGAAGCAACTTTTTCAGTTCCTCAGCTTTCGGGAAGGCGATTTCCTTCAATTTCTGAGGAAGGAAAATTAGGGATGTTAGTTAGCTAGGGAAATTCTCTCACGTGACGCTTTAATAAATTTCCCCAAGAAGGAAAATCACATCTTACCCTCATTGTTTCTTTCTTCTCAGGAATGTTGGCTGTTTTATAATCCCGATGTCTGGGAAGTTTTTCAATAAACAACCTAAAAGGAAGTAAAATGCATGAACATTATTTAATTATTTCAAAATATCATTTTTAATATTTTAAAAAACACAATTTATTCTTTTATAGACATGTATTATTTACATATACAATATTCTAATATATAATATTTATTGTTATTTTTAACCTATTTAATTTAGATGTTTATCAATTTATTTCTTGGATATGAAGAAATATATTTCTAGCAAATAACAAATCACTCAAATCAGTGGTTTAAACAGTATTTAGACATCCTAAATTTAGTGTGTTGACTTTTTTTTAATTATTATTCTCGATGTCTTACAGGTTTTTCAATAAACAGGCTCAGGAGAATTAAAACGCGGCATGATATATATATATATTTAAAATATTTATCATTTATGTTAACATTATTTTTAATCTTGATGTTTATTTGTAGTATATGAAGACAACAAATTTAGTTTGACCTTCTGAGGTTAACGATCAATATTTTATCATGATAACTGGGTATTTAAAAAGAACTTGACAGTTTTAGTCCTTATTTTGTACTGTGCTACTGGAAATCACTTTTTTTTACATCAAGAGAACAGTATAATGAATCTGAAATGTGGAATCAATAACCAGACTTCCAAGCAATTTGACACTTTCCGCCTGTTCTGGCTGTACTTACGTGATGTACTTATTGTACAGAATAAATGCATGCTCGACATTCCCCTCCTCTGCATAGATGCAGGCCATTCGGATGATTTCCATCCCTGAGCGGAAGTATCTGCGGGGCGGCACATCCTCGCTGATGTCCACAGAGCTGCCCAGTTTGGTGAGAGCGCGGACCCTCTCCTCAGACGTCAGACTGAAGTCACAGTGCTCAGACATGCTGTCTCCTGCCTGCAGATCAATAAGACACTCAGTCTCACTGCACTGAGTATGACTGATGATAAAGCTCCCCACTTTGGGTGGAGTTATTTCTATTGTATGGTTAGGGATTGATAAAACAGTAGTTCAAACTGCAAGCCAGGGGGTTCAAAAATTATTTATACACTGTCTGAAAGCCATTGGATTAGATCCGATTAGATTAAATAAAGTGTTACTATAAAATGCTAATAAATGTTTCATTTATTCTCAGAACTGATCTCAGAACTGATGAAGGTGTTGTTGTTGTTTTAACATAAAATAAATGCCACTTGGTTTAATATTTTATTTTTTAGTTCATTGATATAAATGTTGGTAAATTGTCTAAATACTTTTTAAGGACCTCTATATGTAATTATATATATATATATATATATATATATATATAGTTGAACATTAAAACGCATTATATGTAAATAAGCGGCGAATACGACTTTTAAACTTTAACTTTGACTTAAATGTGTCTGGTGGCACCTTTATTGACAGGCCAATCAGCTAAAAAACACTGAGAGGAAGATTAGTCTTGCATGAATGTAAAATAGCTTTCCTAAGTTACCTGATTTCAACGCAGTCCTTTAAGCTTTCAACGACGCTTTGCTGTAATTCTCTTAAATGTATTCTTCATATTTAGACATCGTGGAATACAAAGCTTGATGTGTAATATCATAATACTTCCTGCATCGTATGGAAAGACTCCGCCCACTTCAGTCAGCTGATGGTGACGCAATGCCTCAGACTGACCAATTGCGAAAGACTTCCACCGTATTTTTAGACCTCCACACTTATATCACTATGATGCTTGTACTTTTTCTATGAGCTAAAACAGCTCTAACTTATGTACTGTTATTACCGTGTAATATATTAATTTTACTGTTACTTTCACACTGATTTTAGAAATCGAACAATGCATTAAAGGTCTTATTGTTAGTTCTTTTTATTGTGTGTATATTTATAAGCAACAACGGTTCAGACCTTTAACGTTAAGTAATTATAAAGGTACTGTTTCAAATTACACGATCAACTTTTATTTCGTATGAATGTATGACAGAATGCAGCAAAATAAGAAAAATTTAGATTTTTTTTTACCAATATGGCAATTATTTAGAACTTTTTAATATCAATAAATTAATTAATTAATAAAAATTAATATTATATAATTAGAATATATATATATATATATATTCTAATTATATAATATTAATTTTCCCTTTCAGTGGTGATGACCATATATCTGCTACTTATTAATAGCTAGTTTTCTAAAAACCAATAAAAATATCCATAATTACAAGTAATTGAGCAAATAAGCCTTTTATTAATTTGACCTCAACATGGTTCTCACAGAATAATGAGATCATCTGACCAGTAGAATTGTAGCCTAAATAATGGACCATACATCAGCTAGAGAATACTTTAGCAGATAAAAAAATGTACTTAATAAAATATGTAAAATATAAGGGAAATTATAAAACAAATGTAATTGCACTTGAAATAATGTTTAATATTTCATTTAATTAAACTCTTAAGAAATGGTGCTGATGTCCAATTGTAGCAAAAGTCAAAAGTCAAAGTCAAAGCCACAAACTGTCAGGTCATGAAATGAAAACAATTAAAAAAAAAATAATAAAAGAAAGCCCATTTAACACTAAAAACAATGGTTTACTTCTGAGAATATAAATACAAGTTAAACAGGGCTTTGTTTAAATGGATTAAAGATATGTAGCAGTCATTGATTTTTTTTTGTGTATGATTTAGATCTGCTAAATAAAATGACCAAATAACAGATAACTTGAGATAAGTTAACAGATAAGATCTAAAAAAAAACTTAAAATATTGTAAGCTAGCGGAGTCCAATAAAAAAAATAAAAAATAGTCAAGCTCATTGAGAGACCACATCCATTTACTCTTTAAAGAATAAGCACAGTTCCTTCACAGAGAGAATGGTTTAACATTGACAGCACAGTCCAGCAGATTGGGTTGACCAGATGAAGTCTCCACTTCAGCGAGGAGTCCTATCTTTGTGTCGAGGTTTCCGGTGAGGCCCTTGAGGTCTTGTCGATCTGTCAGGAGGGGCATATGGGTCGTAGCGTGGCCCACGATGTGGAGGCTGATATGGGGTTGAAGGACTGAAGTAGAATCCTCTGACACTCTGGTTGGGAAAACCGGGTCTCGTTAGTCTCACGCCCGGGGGTGGATGAGGAAACAGAGGCGGACGGAAGGACATTGGCTCAGGTGCTCTGAACGACGTCATGTTGTTGCTCTGTTGAAATGGGCTAAGGAGAAATTATGAGAATGATTAGGGAACAGCTTCATCCAACCTGCTGAATCATGCACAATAAGACAACAGCCGAGTTTCCACTGTCGGGCCAGTGTGAGCCAGGGCTTTAAACGGGCCGTGCTCGGCTAATAGCCTCGGATCTGTGGCACATAGCCCAAAACCATGCCAGAAGCTCTGCAGCGCGTCACTAAAACCCGCTCGTAACACGCCTCTCTGGACAACGTCGCACAAACCATCATTTCACCTTCCTTAAAAATGTATTACCCAAGCATCAGTTTTATCACAGATTTACTATAAAAAGTGATACATTGATGATAATAATTAACTTCTGTCAAGATTGCACATTAGACGCACAGAAATAAATTGGTTTACTATTATTTCAAAAAAGAAAGAGGACACACATACTAGTCGCATCTGTTTCTATTTATTCGTATTCACAGGACAGTATGTTTACATCACATTTAGAAAGAATGATCATTTCTACGAATATGCCACCAAATGTGCGACCTGAGGAAGAATAGCACTCTCTCCCAATAAAGTTATATTTTCAGTCAGAGAAACACAGGAAGCTCTCGAAAAACCGCAGTTGCTTTATTTTAAGCGGCGCTAAATATTGATAAACAGTCCAAGACAAGACGTATTGAGAGATGAAATAAAAACACGATTGTAATAGCATATATGATTTGTCTGATTTCTTCAAGCGGTCATATTTAGCTACCATGTTTACGATTGTTATGTTAGTGCATAGTCTTTTGCATCAGATTTACATATTTCTGCCTTATACAGTGATTAGAGTTCACATTGGATCACAAACAGAAGGTATTCATGAAAGTGAGTTTTGAGCTAAAATGAATTTAAAAGTCCTTAAGTCCAGTTAGCTGGTATATGGAATCATCCGGCGCTGCCGTCTCCAGACTCAGATAAACTCTGCATCTGTTCATGACCACTCCTAAAGCCCGAGTTGGCCCGCTTTGGACCAAGGTATTCGGTGGGCCAAAAAACCCTGGCCGCTGACCCTGAGGAGGCCCGATCAAGCCCCTGAAGTGACTGTGGAAACGCGACTGGCCCTGGCACGCACTAGCACACCCGCTTTTGGCCCGAAAGTGCAAGGCTAATGTTGATGCTAATTTAGTCTTGTTCGATATTTTCTCCAAAACCAGTTCAGTGCAAATCTGATTCTAAAGATATTCTACACAATGCCACAACAAATACAAAACCATAACCCTACCCCACACCCTTACACTGGGGGGGGGGGCTATGCTATGCTGTTCAGACTGTCTGATATCGTTTTTGTATCCGATTGGAATCTGATCTAAATGATTTACTGTCTACACTCTGTACCGGAACTCTTCCAATCTGATTTGTGTCTCACATGGTGAAATACCTGCTTTGGTTTCAAGGTTATCTATGGCAATGACGTCAACAACATGACATGGTTTGCAATTTGATATTGTGTAGCTGCGGTACTGGACTACAGAGGAGTCAGGCCCATTCAGATTTTTGAGCTGAATGGATTTGAATGCAGCTTCCAAAAGACAAAAAATATATATTTATACAAGTGATAATTTACCTATTGAAGTGTACTATCACACCAGTATTGGAACGTTCAGTGCGTCACGTGATCAACTGCTTTGTCTGACGCTAACTGTTCAGTGTTTTCAACCATATAATGTTTGTTTCTGACATTTAAAGGATTAGTTCACTTTTGAAAAAACTTTTGCTGATAATTTACTCACCCCCATGTCATCCAAGATGTCCATGTCTTTCTTTCCTCAGTCGAAAAGAAATTTAGGTTTTTGATGAAAACATTCCAGTATTTTTCTCCATATAATGGACTTCAATGGGAACCGGATGGTTCAGGGTCCAAAAGACAGTTAATAACTGTTTCAGATGCAGCTTCAAATGTCTTTAAACGACACCAGACGATGAATAAGGGTCTTATCATGCGAAACGATCGGTTATTTCAAAACTTATTCCAAAAATGTAACTTTTCTAAGGACAAATGCTAGCCTTGTAATATATTGTGAGGCGCGTTTGCAACGTCACGTAATACGTAATTACGTTCAAAAGGTCACGGGCGACGTAGCCGGAAGTACAGAATCAAAATCGTCCGACATCGTTGTTTTACCTTTTAATTCCTTTTTTGTAAACGGCGTTTGAGTTAGTTTTCACGTTCAACCTATGCGTTCAACTTGTAAACACTCTGACTCTGTACTTCTGGCTACGTCGCCCGTGACCGTTTGAACGTAATTACGTATTACGTGACGTTGCAAACGCGCCTCACAGAATGGAGAAAGGCTAGCATTTGTCCTTAGAAAAGTTACATTTTTGGAATAAGCATTGAAATAACCGATCGTTTCGCATGATAAGACCCTTATTCATCGTCTGGTGTCGTTTAAAGACATTTGAAGCTGAATCTGAAACTGTTATTAACACTATCTTTCGGACCTTGAACCATCCGGTTCCCATTGAAGTCCATTATATGGAGTAAAATCCTGGAATTTTTTCATCAAAAACCTAAATTTCTTTTCGACTGAGGAAAGAAAGACATGGACATCTTGGATGACATGGGGGTGAGTAAATTATCAGCAAAAGTTTTTTCAAAAGTGAACTAATCCTTTAAATACTGAAAAGTACTAGCAAACCCCATTCCCCTTACCTAAGGGGGCATGATGCCTCTGCTGGTCTACTATGTCTATCAAAACAGTCTGAACAAGGCTTTAGATGTTCACAGACAAATTACAATCCTTCTTCAAAGTCTTAAAAAAGCACAGGAGCTTACAAAAATTGATGCTGGGGATTCCTGTGAGATTCTCGTCCATTGAAAGGAGGATCATGGTTATGCTGTTCCCTTCGATGATGAGGGGCCTCATGTCGTGTCTCGTTTGCAAGTCCCTGGAAGAGTTCGTTGTTTGGTTCCTCCACTTCTGCATTACTGCATGTGAGATTAAAAATATAATTAAATACAACAGTAGACTTCACCGAACAAGAGATCTAATGGCGTCAAATCAAGTCAAATTTATTTGTATAGTTCTTTTTATAATAGATGTAGTTATAAAGCAGCCCGTACTTAAAATCATGATGTTAATGTTTATAATATTGTAATATATTAATGTCTTATAGCCGCATTTAGAAGATTAAAGCTGTGCGATAATTTACTTTAATATTTTTCGATCAATCAAGGCTATGATGTTCATATCATTTTATGTGAGTGTTCTTTATGTATGCGGATACATTTTTGAGCTGTGCGATAATATAGTTTACATTTTGCAATGATATAAACCAACAATATTGAATTTGGAGAACATCACAGTCATTCTGAGTGATACAGAGGGGGGAAACAGATTTCAGTGAATTTTTAAATAGCCTTATCAGATTTGGTGACCCTGCTGCATATCGTTTGCCATTCATGTCAACCCAAAATGATTTCTACTGTATGAAACTGAGGAGATCAGTCATCACCAGAGTGAATTCGGAGGGTTTTGCAGTTCACATTGGGAATCTAAAGAGGTATTCTCAAATGACAGTCTCACAAAACTTCTTCAAAGTCTTAAAAAAAAGCCCAGGAGAAGCTTACAAAAATTGAGGGGGATTCCTGCGACCTTGGTGAAATCCTCGTCCGTTGTAAGGAGGATCATGGTTATGCTGTTCCCTTCGACGATGAGGGGCCTCATGTCGCGTCTCGTTTGCTAGTCCCTGGGAGGGTTCTTGGTCTGGTTTCTCCATTCCCTCGTTACTGCATAAGATAAAAGTACAGGTCAAATTATTATATAAAGTTATATGTGTACTGTACGTACAACCGTGTAGAAGAGCTCACCTTCTCTTGGGCCCATTCCTCAGGTCATCTAGATAGTTCTGCCTCTCAATTGAGTGTCCTCTTGATGCATTAAACACTGGAAGTAATCACACCATTAAGAGAATACCAAAAAAGCATGTGAATACATAATTGAATATACTTACAATTAATTGCTTTTTGGGGCTTCATCCCATCAACATCAATTAGGTATCTATGATATAATATTTAACAGTGACAACATATGGATGCAATAGCTCATCTACAGACAAAGTCATTGATCACGAATGCGGTCGAAATGTTTGCAAACAATCATAAAAAATATGCTACTTACCGACATATTAAATAGCCAGTGCGATTCAAACCATGTGTGCAATGAACACCAATCAGCTTATCTGTAAACAACAACAAATATATAATAAATTACAGGAATAAATTACATTTTAAAACACACTAAAATAAAAAAAAAATATTATTTCAAATTGTAATAATATGTCACTATATTACTGTATTTTGATCAAATAAATCCAGAGACATCTAAATCATAAACATAAAAAAAAAACAAAAAAAACGTACCAACCTTAAACTTTGGAACGATAGTGAATAAAAATTGCAGTCAATTTTACCAAATCACCAAAATTGCATATTTAAATGTTTTTTCCTTGAAAAATTAATTTCGTCATGCCTCTTAAAATAGCTTGAATGTAACTCTACACCCTTGCCTCTTTTAGTACATGCGGTTCTATGAATATGCAAATTAAATATCCAAGGATATCCACTCGTTGACGATCACACACTGATCTGATTGGTTACAAGGTAGTTTGTGATGTCAGAAACAACAGCGATTTCAACCGTCTTTGGTTCACAGCAGTTTTAAGGAGAAAATACTCAGCAATAGGGATGGGCAATGATTAATCACGATTAATCGCATCCAAAATAAAAGTTTGTGTTTACACAATACAGTACATGTGTGTGTAGTGTGTATAATTAATTTGTATATATAAATACCACACATGCATGTATATATTTAAGAAAAATGTGTTATTAATATATCAAAAATTTATATTTATGCGCATATTTCTTAAATATATACATGCATGTGTGGGTATTTATATATACAAATTAATTATACACACTACACAAACATATATTGTGTAAACACAAACTTTTATTTTGGATGCGATTAATCGCGATTAATCATTGCCCATCCCTACTCAGCAATGATGTGGACTTATGAATTTGCACATGGTTTGTCTTTAAGCATGTCAAAAACACCACATAGACCTATAAGCAACATTAAAAACTTGATTGTCACCACAGGGGGACTTTAACTGTAACATACCGTTGTTTTCATTGTTATGCAGAAAATGTCTGACGGCCTTCTTGAAGCTGAGAATCGTGGCATTGTTTGGCACTTCATGCCCTGCTGTGAAGATCTTCAGGTGGTGCAGCGTGTTTGGCAAATCCTGAAACATTTACAGACAATTATTACAACAACTGCCATGAAAAAAATAAACTTATTTATGCTCCAATCTCATCAGACTAAATTCTTCAGCAGGGAGACGTTTACGTTCATGTGGAAAAATATGATTAGCTATTTATTTATCATCGGAAACATTGACTTTAATTCCTACCACTACTGTGTAGTAACGTGTCGTGAAGGTCAGATCGATGATGAGACCCAGTTCTTGTTCTTCCTTCTCCAACATATGAACAAGATCAAATGGTTCAAATACTTCTGATTGTGCTAAACGCCATCTAAAAGACTAAAACAAAAAGACCAGGCAGCACTGGAATTACATCCAAGTTCACGTGATCATTTCAAGGTAAAGGATTTGGCTGTATCTTCAGACCTGTTTTAAAGGTACTTTGAAGGCGATGAAGCGTGTTCCAGGTATCCGTTTACCCACTGCAGTATAGTCTGTCCATCTAAAGACAATATAGCTTTAGTAAAAACATTTTTTTAAAGGTTTACTTTAGTTAAAGGAGTAAGTTCATCCAAAATTGAAAATTCTGTCATTACTTATTCTCATGTCATTTCAAACCAAGACGTTCACCTTCAGAACACAAATGAAGATCTTTTTGATAAAATTTGAGAGCTTTCAGTCCCACCATTGACAGCTAAGCAACTGACACTTTGAGTCTCTTCAGAAAAATTGGACTAAACCGCTCGACTCATAAGGATTACTTTACTCTTAGTTTTATGATATCTTTGTTACATTTTTGAAGATTCAAAGTGGTAGTTGCGTAGCTTTCAATGGAGGGACAGAAAACAGCTCTCAGATTTCATTTAAAAGATCTTAATTTGCATTCTGAACATAAACGTAAGTCTTACAGGTTTGAAACGGCATGAGGGCGAGTAATTCAAGACAGAAGTTTCACTTTTGGGTGAACTATCACTTTAAGCAACCTCATGAAACATGTCAAATTATAAAAACTCACCTGTCAGGAATGCCATTTTTCTTTGAATACATATCTTCACAGCAGCTGCTTTACAATGCCATACACTTTTGAAAACACAGATATGTTTGATTACATCTATACGTGAATTATATTGCAGCAAGCAGAACTTATATACCTTAACTGAACACTAAATCCTGAAATATTTATGAATTAGTTACACCAAAACATGCCTTAAAAAGCAAAAAATAAATAAAATTAATGGCACTGACACATTTTAATAATATGTCAGTGGAAGTTTCAGTTAAAACAGCTCAAATATGCATTTTAGTCAGGGGCTAGCTTAAGGTTTGTCTGTGAACCGGGGGTAAATTAAGTGCGTCACATATACGAGATAAAATGATCAAAATCAGACCTGGTTTCACTTTTAGCTATTACTAAAACAAACTTAATTTAATATTCAGGTCTTAACTGTTTTTTCAAACTACCATGTAAGTGTCGTGATCGAGCTCTGTATTGCATCATGACAGCTTTTATACTTAGATACGATAAAGAATAAAATATTTATACTAGAAAGTAGCCCGTTTACCTCTGTGATAAATTCTTCTTCCACGTTACAGACTCGCGTGGCCAACACCTCTGACGTAATTCCTCTGCTCGTGACTGCAGGCGCTGCTGCCGCTCTCAGGCCGGGGGGGAAACTGCAACTCAACCGCAACTGAATGCGAGCTGGCAGAAACAACTAATTTCTGTATAACAACAACCCTTAACTATATACAATTACCGTTGTATTTGGGAATCGGTTATAAAAGCGTTAAAAGTGTACACACCAAGGATGTTACATAAAGTTTTAATATTGGCCAGTTTAGACAAGCCTTAAGCCTAGACTAAAATACATGTTTACTCTAGCAAGAAGGCCCTGGTCGCACACTGGATTCAGTACAGACTACTAAAGTCAATCAAAACATTTATTTTATTTCATAAATTGTAATCATGTAAAAAGTGCAAAGCTGTCTTAACTGAAAGAAACTTGCTGAAAGTATGTCCAGTAATGGTTTTTAAGGCACATTTATAAAAGCTTAAAGGTCCTTTTGAACTAAGGCCTCAGGCTGGCTTAAGCCATATCTGTGAAACTGGCCCTTTATTGTTCTGTTTTAATCCATGCGACACAAGTTGAAATCACTTTCAAAACGTTTTTTTTTCCCAGCTGATGAACAATAGAAAAATTAATCTGCCAAACAAAAACTCAAATATTTAAAGTGACAGACAACAAAACCGCAGCACTAACTTAAGTAGGTATGGACGCTAGTATACAGTTATGGTTATACTAAATAGGCTATTGTTCCTGTGACTTTAAACAAATGTTTTAAATGATAGGCTACTCATATGAGATTCAGTTATCAGTAAAGCATAAAGCTTGCCCAAAACTGCTCACTTTATCTCGGTGGCCACATTTTGATAGTTATATTTTTGTAATAAATTAATCATCATTTGTTATTATGGAAGTTTACAAATTTAATCTCTATTTTTAGTCATAATTAAATTTACTAACATGAGTTTTAGAGAGCTAACATGTATAAAGATGGGGTAAAAATGGATCTGAACTCATAACATTTGAATGAATGAATTAATTAATTAATTTTATTTTGAGCAATATAGTGGTATATAACAAAGGCAATCAGAAGCATTTATCAGTCAATTGCTCGAAACAAAGTGGGAAGAAGTCAGACTTACTTAGACCCACCCCGGTCTGGGAAAAACAAGACAGAAAAACAAAGGTAGCTACTTCTAAATTGTTGACATTATCATTCCTCACAATTACACATCTACCATATTACCGCAGGTAAATAATTATAGTATACCAACGATGGTAATCCGATACCTTCATAGCCTATATACATGTCATGAATACATTTGCTACTGATACCAACAATGGTAATCCGAATACCTACACGAAAGATAACGCAGCCTATGAATCCAACGATTTAAACCCCACCCTCCTTGTACTGTGTCAAGACCTTTGAATACACTGGTGAATACACTGACATTGTTGAAGTCCAACCCCCAAACTCCATAATTTAACCCTGCATACGGCAACACAATAAGTTAAGTACGGTGAATCAGGGAACAATACAGGGTAAGGAGTGAATGCTTTGAATGCTTTCAAAAGTGAATCCTTTGACTGCTTTAAACTCTCATGAACCAGGAAACACTTGAGTAGACAGACATACAGTGACTTTAGGGAAGTTTGGCAGGAAACGCCACAATCAAAAATGTAATCAAAAGGAATGTTTCTCTAGATGCAACACTTTGCGTGACAGAGTCACAATGTGTCTGCAGAATAGAATTAAAAATTTATAAAAAATATAGATAAAAAATCTGAATAAAAAATATATATTTCTCATTTAAATTATAGGCTCTATTCTATAATATAGGCTATATTCATAGTGGAGACTGGGGTTAGTTGTCACACAAGTAAGGGCTATAGAGATTTTGAAGTCCAATTTGACTTTGTTTTCAATTGATTTGATTGTTTTTGGACAATTAACTTTATTCATGTGTTAGCAAAAAACAATGGTGTATTATTTTTACAATAATAGGTGAATACAAAAAAAAAATAGTTCTGATCATTATTTTGAGTAAGTTAAAAATACTGTGTGAATGCTGAAGAAAGCAGGAAAGATTTGAGTAGACAGACAGATAAGAGAATTACCTTTGAAGGAAGTGTGTGAGACGAGGGAAACCGTGTGAAAGCAGAATGTTCCCCCAGAGACAGAAATTCCCTTGTGCCACACGTCTCCGGTTGTGAACTCCATGCTGTCTTTCATTTAAACTAAATTTAATATTTAAAAAATGATAACAACATATTTGAATTATCAATTCCTTGGATAAAAACACTTTGTTGCAAAATCTTCAGTCAGAATTTATTTAGAATTGTTTTCACCATGTTGAATGTTGGTTGCTTTAAATGAGAGAGAGCGTGTGTGTGTGTGTGTGAATTCTCTTCAATTAAAGTTTGAACACCATCATATTTTTGTCATGTTTTTTTCTGTCACTATTATAAGTTGTTACATGTTTTATGTGTTGTTATTGTACATTATATGTTGGCAGTATTTAAATTAGTTGGAAAAAAACACAATTGGCAATTTAATGTAGGTTCCCATGTGTCGGTTGAGTTTACCATGTAATATGACAACATGCTTCTGTCAGTAAATGAACTCAATAGCTTGTTTGTTTCCATGTTACACTAAATAAAATTTGGTGTAACATGTTCACTCAGAAATCGAATTACTAGTAAGGTTCCCAAATAATTGCAACAAACAATTCACATTCAATTAAACATGAACATTTGAAGTTGAAAGACTGAGATAGCATTTTTTTCAGTAGTTTTATTTAACTTTTTTGTTTTACTGTGCCTATAAAAAAGATTAACCTTCAATAATTAAAATAATAAACCATATAGAAATATGAATTGGATCTCCCCTTATTTTCTATCCCTGACTTCTGTTGGAATGCTGCTTCCTCACAAATATTTGCAAGTGCAAATGCATAAGAAGTTCTATTGCCTTTAAAGTTTGCAGACAGCAATTATGAAGTTGTGTAATCAGAAGTGATAACACAATGGTATTGCCCAGGAACATTCCCCATAGTGACTTCTGAAAAAGGGGCAGGGCTGCCTGATAGTATAAATACAGGCAGATCACCTGAGAACTAGTGCAACATACTCTGAAGCAAACTGATTGCATTGAAATTCAGTGTTTGACAGAAGAGAGAATCATGTCTTTTTGTAGATATCCTTTCACGGCCAGCAAGAGGATGAAGAACAGGGCGTTAATAGTGTCTGTGGGGAACTTCTATCCAGATGTAGATCTGAGCAGGAGAAGCGGCGTGAAGAAAGACACTCAAAGGCTTCACAAAATCCTCACCAAACTCGGCTTCTCTGTGGAAATCAAAATAGACATTGAAGCAAAAGAGATCTATGAAGCATTTAAAAGAGGTAATATGAGCCAACATATTGTATTGTTTACTTTACCAATTTAAAAACATCACTATCAGCATACATATCAGCTTTATATATCACTTTATAAAGAAGTTACATTTTTCTATATATTGTGTGGTGAGTCAATGGGTTTGTATTACACTTTTTTGTATACACACTTTTATTAGTAAACTAACTATCCATTCCAGATACTCACTAACTCCGTCCTCCATCCTCAGAGAGCGAGAAGACGGTCAAAGACTGTTTTATGGGCATCATATCCACTCATGGTGAGAAGGGGGTTGTGTTTGGTGCTGACGGACATGCCGTGAAACTGTCCGAGATCTACAGCTACTTCAGAGGCCCGTCAATGGCGGACAAGAGCAAACTCTTCCTGATCCAGGTACCATTCCTGAAAAACAAAAACTCTTGTGACCTTTCATGTTCTTGCATAAGAGCCTCGAGAGGGACGTATTGATATTGCATTCCATTTTATAAATCCTTTATTTTAGACAGAACATTTTTTGCATTTTGAATTGTTTAACTTTTGTACTAAACTTGGTGTCTTTTGTGACACTTGCTATGTGAACACACACACAGATGCAAAAACATGGACATGATTCAAAAAGGTTAGATGGTTTTTAGGAAAAAATGTTTTTTGATTGTTCACGGTCAAAAATGACCACAATAGGAAATTAATGGGGAATACAAAAAATATAGAGCAATTTTTGGGGGTGTTAGCCGTTTCCACTGCAGGAACTTTCCCCAGGAGCTAGGAACTTGGGGGTGGTACTCGGTTGCTGCGTCCCAATTCGCATACTATCCGTCCTAAATAGTATTTGAAAATATAATTAGTACATCCCAAATCGTAGTATGTTGAAATGAGTGTTCCAAAGAGACTCAGATGGTCTACTATATCCGGTCAGAATCCGAAGTGCAGATCGATGCACACTCTAACGGCTGAAATTGTCCACAACCCATCGCGCGCTGGACGAGGATTCGGTTAGAACTACAAACACGAGTAAAAAGTGTTAAAAACTACAGACATGGAGGACGTGCGAGTCCCGCGGTTATGTAGAAAGGTTTAGATAAAGGGGTTTGAGTGATTATTTATCAGTATCTAACCTGACGAAAATGTATTTATTCAATGTTGGCTACATTATTTTATTTCATCTGCAGAAGCAATGTGAACTTTTGTAAAAATACGTTTGACATTAACTTTTAAATGCATCGTTATATTCAAGTTGCAAACACATGAGGAGAGTATCTGCGCATGAAAGACCCACAACTGGCAGGTGAACGTGCGACAACATTTCTCTCCGAAACGGTAAGAAATTAAATTAGATTGAATGGAGGATTTTAACTGTGATGATTGACAGGGTAGTAGTATGTCCTAAATCTTGCCTACTCTTTTGCTACACACTCAAAATTATGTACTTTTTCTTCACAAAAAGAGTACATACTTTTAGGGTGTAGTAAGTAGGCGAATTGGGATGCAGGGGGTGTGTTTACACCGCAGGAATCAGGGTCTAAATGATGTACTGGGTAAAAAGTCCCTGCTTGTTGTGAGGTAGTACTTTTTCAGAGTTAGGGAACTTTCGGGGTGGGACTTGTGCGCTGAACATGCTGATTGGTTCTTACCACTTGTTCTTTCTGCCCAATGGCGCGCGTTCGTCCCATCCATCTCACGGTCAATGTCCGCGGATAACAAACGTCTACTTTTATATCGAGCATTACGAGCTTTCTGAATACGCTTTGGGTGCTCGTCTCTTTTCTGCCATTTTGTTAATTACCTCATTAGTAAACCAATCGCACACAAAAGCAGCACAGCTTGAATCTCCTCGAAACAAAACTCAAAACTCGAAACAAACACGCAGACTGGGAGGAGCAGTCGAACGCAGTTCAACATCACTACATAATCTTCCCGCCCCGGACCGGTACTTTAGTCCGCGGTGTAAACACAGTAAGCAAGCGGCCTGGGGCAAAAAAAAGTTCCTAAAAGGTTCCTGGGACAAATACTTTCTGGTAATTCCGGTGTAAACGCCGCTTTATTTGCTTATGGCATGGCTACTCCAAATAAAAATATCTAGACATGAAATATTGTTTTTGAGTTGAGCTTGAGACTTGTTAAAGATTTGAAATGAATGTTTGCGATTCTTGTGACTCTGCTGCAGGCTTGTCGAGGTCACGGGTTGGATGGAGGTGTGGAGGTGGAGACAGACTCTTCATCCTCAGAGGAAGAGGACGGCATGTCTGAGCTTTCTTCCATTCCTATTGACACTGCAGTTATGTACGCCACACCACCAGGTACGGTTTATTAACTCCAAAACATTGTTCGCATAGATCATAAAGTGCAATTTTAAACGCTTCACTTCCTCACTCACGTTCATGTGTCTCTTTCGTTTGGAAGGTTACGCTGCGTTCATGCATCCTACAGGCGCAGTGTTGATTCAGACTCTCTGTAATTTGTTGGAAAAGGAAGGAGGTCCAGATCTGGAGATCACAAACCTTCTGACTCGTCTAAACTACCAGGTGGCCTACAACTTCCAAGCGAGAGGGGAAAAGTTGGGCGGCAAAAAGCAGATGCCGTGCTTTGTGACGCGATTTACCAGAGAAGTTTTCCCGTTCAGCAGCACGGCAGCAGCAGAAGATTTGAGCTTGACCTTTGCTGCCACAAAACTCATCGATGAACCCAGAAGGTTATGGACGAGCTCCATCAGCTGAAGATCATATAACAGAGACTGACTGGGGAAAAATATGTGGAGAAACGGCTTCTTGTTAGACATCATCTCATTGGATGAGATAACATAACTCTGCCTGAACTTGCATCGGCAGCAGGAAGTCAGCTGATGGGAAACGAGCAGGATGTGTTCCGTTGAAGTCTTGAACTATACTTTTATTTTGCTTTATTAAATTGGATTGTTTTATTAAAACAATCATGTGAATATCCTGTTATTTATTTGACTTTATTATATATTAATCTTGAAAGTGTTTATCTATTATATGTGATATGCAAATAAAAGCTAATGATCTCTGGTGCAACAACATTTGAATGAAATATTGATTCTTGGAAACACTGAATTTGTTTGAAACAAATGTTACGCCCAGTTATATGTCATAGTCAGTCTTTATCGCTGCTATATTTACAAGGTGTGAACCATTTATTACATGCTCTGTACTTTCAGGCACTCATGTGAGGTGAGTTGACAGCCAATCCAGAAACACAGGATTTCAACATGGCCTGTTAGTCACAAACACTAATGCCAGGTTCCATTTAACATATGGAGTGATGACTATTATTTCTTTGACACGTTACATGAACATATGGAATGCGAGTAAAAAAAGAGTCTGGTGATTATATACACCGACTGGAATTTCCAGGTGACAGCTACTGTATGAGTATCTGAGACTGACAAGACGTGCATCATCATGTTGTACTTCTTGACTTGAATGATCAGAACGCACTGTCCCAAAGAACTTTATCAAGAGAAACGGACTTCAATGATAAGAAGCAATCTGTACTTATCCAGAGAAGCGCACTTACAGTTTTACAGCCATAGAGGAAAAAGTCCTGATAGACGCAGGCTCAGCAGAAATTAAAAACAAGTTTAAGTGTCATAATGTTATAATTTATTGCTGATAGTTTAAAAACAGCTATAAATTAGGTCTATATATAATTATTTATTATTATAATTATTTAGAAATAAGAATTTACCCAATTCCTCCTCAAATCTTCATAAAGTAACAACTTTTATGGATTTTAAAACATAAATACTAAGGCCAAGGCTGCGTCCGAAATTGCATACTCTATAGACTAGAGTATACACTTTTTAGGTGTAAAGTACTTTGCGAGAAAATTAATGAATGTTATCCGGGCGTAGTCTACTACATTCACCATGTTGTCATTGTCATGTGACTTACCAGATGCAGCCTTACTGTCTATGGTGCGTGTGTGTGTGTGTGTCTGGTGTAAACATGGCGGAGAGCACTGTGTTTCTTTCATTACATGGATAACAATTTATTTCCATATTAAGTTAAGTGTTTATTTTTCTTAATACAGATTATGCATGTATTTCAATTTTTTTAAACAAATACATAGAAAATATTGCTCATGGTTATTTCATGTTAGTTAACACATTAACTACTGTTAAGAAATGAAACCTTATTGTAAAGGGTTACCCTCATTTTAACGATAGGCATTTACATTTTTCCTGAGTTTTGTTAATTTTCAGTATGCTCTACACATTGTGTTTGATTTTTTTTGTAAGTTTGAATATTTCTGTTTGAACTCCTTTTGATTTGAAATATGTAAATAATTACCAGCTCATGTAATTGCATGGATTTCATGCTGCTGTTGTAGTTGATGTCGCCATTTTTATTATCCGATAAAGCTACTTTTTCTAACTCCTCTAAGGCCGTTGCTCCAATTCTCACCAAAATTGAATCAGATCATCTCCAGACCATGCCGACAAATGGATGGATTTCATTTGGATTTCATAAAAAAGCTGCAAGTCGTTTTCGAATACCACGCAAATTAATGTAGCGCTGGCAAAAACAGACATTAGGCTGTATCTTCGCAACGCTTTATCGTATTCAAACCAAACTTGGTCCATTTCATCACAAGCATGGCTTGAGGCTGCATGCTGCGTTTCGGCGCAGTGCCACCAACTGGTCCGGAGATTTGAAAAATGGCTATTTTTGCTCATTAGTTCTTAACGGGTTGTCCGAAAATCTCTTTAGATTCAGGGCGTTATGCCAAGTCGACTGATATCCAATTTTCCCAGATCGCCCATTTTGGCTGTCGGCCATTTTGAATTATGTGTTAAAATGTTGTATTTTTTGAACACATGAACGAATTGTTACGAAACTTGGTATGGGTCATCAGTCCTGAAGGAGCCTGAGAAGTTTCGGAACAGGGCCACCAAGTGGTAAAATTTAATGTTCAAATGCTTATAACTCTAACATTGGTTGACTTATTTTAACGGGAGACACATCATTAGACTCCTGAATTCTTGCCGAGTCCAACGATACCAGACTTGCCAGGTTCTGCCATAGTTTGTGCAGCGCAGTAATTTAGCGCTTAAAAACTGATAAAACTGACATTTGCCGATATCTTCAAAACCGTTAGTCCGATCTAGACGAAACCACTGTCAGAAGTTTGGAAACATAGGTCGCTGGCTAAAAGCAATAGTCCAAATGCCAAAATATTGTAATATAGTAACGGGTAGTAAAATTCTATCAAAGTCACGTGTCAATCATTTTTTACGTGTTTTTTTCATATAAATGTCTATAACTCCGAAGCGAATTGAGATATTTTCACCAAATTTGGCACACACATGCATAGGCTCATTCTGAGGACACATGAAAAAAATACTGGGTTTTTGCCTCTTGGTGGCGCTATAATAGAAGATAACATGCTATACTTAATGAATGCATTGGTGTAACATTACGAAACTCAGTTTGTGCCATCAGCACCATCCTCTGAAGGTACTCAAAAGATTTCAAAACAGCGCCACCTTTTGGTCAAAGTTATAACAAAATGTATAATAATGCTTATAGCTTTTGAATAAATCTGCGTATTTTAATGCCACTGGTCCAAAAGTTTTTTCATCGTCATCAAACTCTGACCACATCAAATCGATTTTGTAACTACGCCACCTATTGGTCGAAAGTGATAATCCATTAAATCACATTTTTAGTTAATGTTTGTGATTTTTCAGCCATTTTGCCTTAATTCACCTTTAAATGCTCCTTGCTGCAGTTGGTTTGACACATGTTGGCATGTCTTGTCTTCTTCTGTGTGCTTAGCCCTGTTGTTGCTGCTTGCAGCTATATTTATTTTTTATTATTATATGTTACAATTATACTTCTTTTTAATTTATAAATTATAATTTTAGTTCTATTATTTGTTGTTGAAAGAAACGTCTTGGATTAAAATGCATTAAATCATAAACTAACATGAACTAACAATGAATTAGATTAAAGGTGCTGTATGCAACGTTTAGCGACCTCTAGCGGTGATGTTTCAGAATGCAACAAGAGCGCTCGTGCTCAATCTCAAGAGCGAGCAATCATTCACTACCAGCCACACGGAGACTTTCAACGCAACGCGAAATTATCACACATGCTGAAAACTAATGTAAACTCCCACTGCAGGTACAATAATAGCCTACTTTTATCAGCTTGACGTTGAAGTAATGCTCTGTGCTCGTACCATGATCATAATGTTACAATAAACTGCATTTAGCCGACATGTGATGTTATATAGCATAAGCCATTTCTCTAACTATTCGTGTATCTTTCACAATCAGCAATGTCAACATAGGTGAATGTATAATATGATAACGAACACGGTTAGTGAACTAAACTGAACAGTTTCAGTGCATCAGTAAGATCATAGGAAGTAACAATACTGTACTGAACGTGTCTGGAAATGTGTATAAACAATATGGTAGTGGGATGACGACATTAGTCAGTACGTTAGATCTAGTAAATAAAATAAGTTACATACTAAATGTTATACTAATGTTATCCTGGAACATTCTTTTGTATCATGTCATGTTTCATGTAGTTTACCTTGCTATTTCACGAGAATTTACTATGTTGATCCGCGTTTTCATCCGGAGTCGATCAGATTCACGTTTTGCCTGATGAGCTTGAGCAGATTGTGGTGAGCAGGACGGCCGAGGGACGTGAGAGAAAGTCGCGAGGCCGGTGGTGCGATTGCTAATGAGCAGCACCTGCGAGGCACACCGGTCTCGCATCTCTCACGAAGGAGCGGAGCCATAAAGGGGAGCGACGGAGTGGATGATCGAGAGAGGAACAGGCCTGCTTTTATTTGTATTTTATATTTTATTTGGTAAGCCAGCAGTCGTCCGTGAGGGGCTGCTGGCCGGTATTTATGTTTTATTTTGGGTAGCCAGCAGTCGTCCGCGAGGGGCTGCTGGCAGGTAATTTGTTTGTTTATTTTATTTAAATAAAGTTTTATTTTATTATTATTATCCGGTTCCTGCCTCCTTCTTCCCTGAACTTTGTTACACAGATAAAACTTTTTTTTGTTTTTTATATTTATGTGGAGTTTGTGTTTAAGTCTGTGTTGTGCTGGAGGCAGGACGTTTTGGGGGGTTATCAGACTCCATGTCGTCAGCTGAAGTGCCGTTGGTCGCATGATAGACTGTAGGATGGAGAGGCTCGGGACTCGGGAGCGCGCAAGCACGTCACTTCTGATGGATTTCGCAGGAAATCCGACCCGGAGACCTCGCATATAAATAAGAATATTGGCCTTCAGAGTTAATTGCAAAACCCGAAAAGTGTATCGTTGCAATGTGTGATTACAACCCCTTCAAACACAGGCAATAAAAAAAGGATTCATTTTATAAAAATAGTTACATATAGAACCTTTAATAAATGCTGTAGAAGTATTGCTCATTGTTATAATTATGTCATAATTTTCTAGGGAACTATAGATGTTCCCTAGAAAAGACATGTTCCCTAGAAAAAAATTGTGTCATAATTTTCTCACCCTCAAGTTCTGACTAAACCTGTATGAGTGTATTTGTTCAGTTGGTTGCAAAAGAAGATTTTTTTGAAAAATGCTGGTTATCAAACAGTTTCTAGTCCCCACTGACTTCCATAGTATTCCCCTACCCCCCACCTCCCCCTCCATTCCATTTATGGTTGGCCTTCACGTGTGGCCTGGGTTGTGTGTCCTGAAACGTATGTGGCGCTGCAGATATCTCTCTATACGTGACAACGCCGTTTATGTGCTACTTCAGCAGCAGTCTTAAACTACGATTCACTTTTAAGCCTTTGGGATGGAAGCACACCTTTATTTGTGCTGAGAACGGTTGGATATGAACACAGTAGACAGACAGCATCATTACTATTTGATGGACTTTCCACTGGAGTTTGGTATTCTATCAGGTATGAACATGGACATAGCAATACAAATATAAGAAAGGGTAATGGACACAGTGGAAAACAGGGGGATATGCTTTTCTGTTTACTTTATTTGTTTACTTGTATCCATTGCTCTAGATTTAGTAGCTATTCTTATGGTTCAACTTAATGGGAAAAGCTAATAAAACATTTTATGTAATTATATACTACTACAAACAATATGAATATTATTTCAATTTGAGTTATCAACAAACCATTGCTGGTAAATTGCAGGATAAATACAAGCACCTATAAAGGTAGTAATTCATCTTTTTATGAGCTAAGCTTCTGATTTGTCTGGAACTGCCAGTGTTGCGTAGATCAGACTCATGACACTGTTAAAGCCTGGAGGAAACGCTCCATATATGGCCTGTTAAACAGACTGTAAATGGCAGGACTCACCTGTTTTATGATGTCGAGACAGACTCTCCCTATTCTCACACAGTTTTTGACTGCATTACACCTGCATTACAGTGTCTGACAGAAGAGAGAATCATGTCTTTTTGTAGATATCCTTTCACAGCCAACAAGAGGATGAAGAACAGGGCGTTAATAGTGTCTGTGGGCAACTTCTATCCAGATGTAGATCTGAGCAGGAGAAGCGGCGTGAAGAAAGACACTCAAAGGCTTCACAAAATCCTCACCAAACTCGGCTTCTCTGTGGAAATCAAAATAGACATTGAAGCAAAAGAGATCTATGAAGCATTTAAAGCAGGTAATTATATTGTTTAGTCTAATAATTTAAAAAAGTATTTTTTCCATAAAGCAAAATTCATGTTTCATATCTGCTGTGCTTGCTTTTGTGTTTCTTTAAAGCCCTCTAAAAACACATTACATAAGGTCATTTATTGGTGCCAAAGTCCTTGTTTGTTAATAATAGGCTGCTGCAATTATCAATTATCAGCAAGCGCAGATTGGCACAAACTCGGTTTAAACTTGTACATTTTTGTTGAATTTGATTTTAATAGAAAAAGAAATTACGAAGGGGGGGGTTGAATGACAATTCAATGTTGCTATCGTTTCAAAGTGAATGAATGAATGAATGAATTATGAGCAATACAATTACTAGTCAATGACTAAAAGTCACACAGACAGCAATCAGAACATATATGATATGAGATATGACGGGAGGAGATTGAGTCATTGTAAATCAGTCCTTAGCCTCGTAAACAATGACAGCGTATGAGTTTTGTCTGAAAATAACTAACAATATTTCAATAGGAACAAATAAGGTAAAAAAAAAAACACATTCAGAATCTGTTATACATCACTGTTTTTTTTTTTTTTACCTCTGTCCTCCATCCTCAGAGAGCGAGAAGACGGTCAAAGACTGTTTTATGGGCATCATATCCACTCATGGTGAGGAGGGTGTTGTGTTTGGTGCTGACGGACATGCCGTGAAACTGTCCGAGATCTACAGCTACTTCAGAGGCCCGTCAATGGCGGACAAGAGCAAACTCTTCCTGATCCAGGTACAATTCCTGAAAAACATCCTCACAGGCAAACTCTTGTGACCTTTCATGTTCTTGCATAAGAGCCTCGAGAGGGACGTGTTGATATTGCATTCCATTTTATAAATCCTTTAACCATCTATACTAGCATTTTAGACAGAAGTTTTGCATTTTGAATTGTTTAATTTTTGTACTAAATATTAATAAATTAAATTAATATTTTAAATACTAATATGATTTTGTGACACTTGCTATGTGAACACACACACACGGATGCAAAAAACATGGATATGATTCAAAAAGGTTAAATGGGTTTTAGAAAAAAAAAAAAAAATCACACTTTTGATTGTTCACGGTCAAAAATGACCACAATAGGAAATAAATGGGAAATATGAAAATATAGAGCAATTTTTGGGGGTGTTCTCTCGCAGCTGTTGAAATCTTTTTTGCTTATGGCATGGCTACCCCAAATAAAAATATCTAGACATGAAATATTGATTTTAAGTTGTTTATTCTCTTAAAGCTTCTGACTTGTTAAAGATTTGAATTGAATGTTTGGGATTCTTGTGACTCTGCTGCAGGCTTGTCGAGGTCACGGGTTGGATGGAGGTGTGGAGGTGGAGACAGACTCTTCATCCTCAGAGGAAGAGGACGGCATGTCTGAGCTTTTTTCCATTCCTATTGACACTGCAGTTATGTACGCCACACCAACAGGTACGGTTTATTAACTCCAAAAAATTGTTCGCATAGATCATAAAGTCCCAAACGCTTCACTTCCTCACTCACGTTCATGTGTCTCTTTCGTTTGGAAGGTTACGCTGCGTTCATGCATCCTACAGGCGCAGTGTTGATTCAGACTCTCTGTAATTTGTTGGAAAAGGAAGGAGGTCCAGATCTGGAGATCACAAACCTTCTGACTCGTCTAAACTACCAGGTGGCCTACAACTTCCAAGCGAGAGGGGAAAAGTTGGGCGGCAAAAAGCAGATGCCGTGCTTCGTGACGCGCTTTACCAGAGAAGTTTTCCCGTTCAGCAGGACGGCAGCAGCAGAAGATTTGAGCTTGACCTTTGCTGCCACAAAACTCATCGATGAACCCAGAAGGTTATAATAATAATAATCTGTTACATTCATATAGCCTTTTTTTGGGTGCTCAAAGCACTTTACATGGAAGAGGGAATCTCCTCAACCACCACCAATGTGCAGCATCACCTGGATGATGCAACGGCAGCCATAGTGCACCAGAACGCCCTCCACACACCAGCTTACTGGTGGAGAGGAGACAGTGATGAAGCCAATCAGTATATGGGGATGATTAGCAGGCAATGATGGACAGAGGCCAAGGGGCAAATTTGGCCTGGATGCTGGGATTACACCCCTATTTCTCAAAAGACTTTCTGGACTTTTTAATGACCACAGAGAGGGTCACGGGAAGAGGTTACAGAATAGCTCTATCAGCTGAAGATCACAATACAACAGAGGCTAACTATAAAAAAATCTGATGGGGAAACAACTTTATCTCAGATAGTCCTTTCTATAACATCTCTCAAAGTATCTCACCGGAGTCTGATAATGAAGCCAGCGACGTCATGTCACACAAAGTTTCATCTTCAGAAGGAAGTGAGTGGGTTGGGAAAGTTCCTAGAATTTTCCCATGGAGCTTTCTTAGTGCTCCATTTGAGTCATGAGTTTTTGCTACCTCCATATATATACATCTTCTATTTATTATGTATACACACGTTTGAAAGTTTGGGCTCGGTAAGATTTTACAATCAAAAAGTACTTTTTTCTTTTTTTAAATGTTTTTAAATATGTTTGATTCCTGTGATGCGAAGCTGAATTTTCAGCATCATTGTCTTCAGTGTCACACGATCTTTCAGAAATCATTCTAATATGCTGATTTGCTATTCAATAAAGATTTCTTATTATTATTAATGTGTCCTGCTTAATATTTTTGTGGAAATGGTGATCTTTTTTTTTCAGGATTCTGATAAATAGAAAGGTTTAACAAACAGCTTTTGAAACAGAAATCTTTTGTATTGACCGCAAGCAAAGAGTAATTAAAGTGTAATTTAAGTTTATTATTGACAAAGTCTTACTAGTGTTAAACATGTATAAAATGAAAATGATTTGTTAAATATGGCAAAATATAGAAGTGCAAATACTTAGACATAATTGACCTAAATAATAATATCAAGCAATTTTATTTGGTTTAGATCAAGTCTGATGCAACAGCCATTTTATAGAATGCTGAAAACGAATGTGATCATTTCGATCATATGCTGTATGTGTTTAAAATAAAACTTAAACAAATGTTCAACTGTCTGTGACTCAGATTAAGTAATCATGGTCACACGTACTTTGCCATTGCTATTTGCTGTAGTTTAAGGTGTGTACAGGATATTGCACATGAATAAGCATAAAAAGACAGCAGATCCAGACATGCAGGATTTCATCAGTGCACACGTGCCTGTTGATCAAGAATGCTTATGTCAGGATCCATTTGGAAATAGTTCACTCAAGAGCTGCAGCATTGTTTTGCTCATTTAAATGAACACAGATGATCAGGTTTTATGCTTCAGGAGATCTTTTTTTTTAAAGTTATTACTATAGCAACAAAAAAAGTCAATATATATTCTGGTTTATTTTTTTTTATTTGAAATGTATACAATATAAACCTGAATTGACTGCTGTAACGTTGACTGCTGTAAGTGCCCGCATTGTGACAATTTACCTAATTTATAACACGCTGTCACGAACATTTTCCGTCCATTTTTTTACAGGGCAACAAGCCAACAACGATGGAAAAGTTCAACGGCTTACATACAGGTTTCAGAAACCGAAATTCACAAAACAAACTTACCGTGAGTCGTGACCAGGGCCTGTGTTGTGAAATATTCAGTTCCTTCCTGTTCCAGTGGGTGGAGAAAACATGAATATTCATGATGTGTGTGGCCTTGAGACAACAAGCTAGCACAAAAACAACAAAAGTAGGCCTACTGGAGTAAAAGTTTTGGTTTTTCTCCACCATGCGCGGGAAATGACTGCTGGAGATGCCACCAGAATTCTTACTGCGAGGTGCGATGACGCATTTCCAAAATGAACGAAACTGAAAATATTAGTGCACTCTCCTCAAATCGTTTAATGGATTATTTCGAGAAGGTAATAAAGTTTCAACGTTAACCATTAACTGAAACAGTTCATATATTTATAGGACACAGCAGAGAAAACAATGAGCGAATAACATGCTCATCTAGGCTTTTTATTATTACTCATTTGTGTCCTAATTAATAAGCTAGCCTGTTTTGAGTCATCTTTAATTTCTTGATAGCCATGTGTAAGTGAAATGCGGTGCGGACGAGGCGACACCATGGCAGGAGGGGGGGGGGGATGTGCATTATAATCCCTCATTATAATGCACTATGGGAACATTGCATTTTCCATAAAGGGTTAGTTCATCCAAAAACGAAAATTCTATCAGTATTTACTCACCCTCATGTTGTTCCAAAACTCTATGTGTTTATTTGTTCTGCTGAACACAAAGGAAGATATTTGGAATAATGTTTTAATCAAACAGATCTCATTCCCCATTGACTACCATAGTAGGAAAAAATACATACTATAGTAGTCAATGGGGAATGAAATCTGTTTGATCAAAACGTTCTTCCAAATATCTTTCTTTGTGTTCAGCAGAACAAATAAACACATAGAGGTTTGGAACAACATGAGGGTGAGTAAATACTGACAGTCAATTTTTGGGTGAACTAAGCCTTTAAAGGGGTCATTTATGCTACTAGTCTTCGTTCTATCGTTCCAAACCTGCATGACTTCAGTGGAACTCAAATAAAGATATTTTGCAGAATGTCCAAGTGGTACAAGGAAAGGACTTTATTATAAAATGTAATTTATTCCTGTGAAAATTCAAAGCTGAATTTTCAGCATCATAACATACATTGGAAATAAATAATTGTATGGAGCAAGGACATTAAATGACAGTAAAGACCTTTACAGTGTTACATAATGTTATTTAAAATCGATTTAAAATCAATGCTGTTCTTTTGAACTTTATATTCATCAAATAATCCTGAAAATATTATATAGATGTACCAGAAATTTTAATAGATCCTTGATTATTAGATACAATCACCAACATCCAGTGAACAATTGTAATTCAAATGCTCTGGACAAATGCGTATAGTAATTAGTTGCTGTAAACTAATATTTCAGACAAGAACAACTGATGAGCTGTGTAGACGAAAATATTGTGCATTCATATACTGTAGTTTAACAGTTTTCATCAATGTTAAAACTAAGCCTACGCCACTGACATTCATTTAGCAGATGCCAAAGCAAATGTATGAGCATTTAAGTTTACATTTATCAATTACGTGTGTTCCCTGGGAATCAATGGTTTATGACTAGCACTGTGCTTTAATAACTAATCCGACTCCAGTAAATTAAAAATAAAATAATTTCGTTTTTTATTTGATTGTATAGTTTTATATAGTTTATATAGTGTAATATAGTTTCAACATATTACAAAACAATCATTTGTTCTGATCCTGTCTGTTGAACATGACAATTAGAGATTAGAAAATATGGTTGTCAATACAAAATATAGTCTCTGAACAAACACTCTTGTTGAATGTTCAATGGGGTTCTTGACTCAATTTTAAAGTGATAAAGTATGTTGGTTATGAGCTGTTTCATTCACAAAATCCCATTGAAATAAAAACTGAATAAAATGATCACATGATGGGAAACCATATAGAACTTTTTTTTCTAAATGTGTAGCAAGCTAGACTATAAAGATTTTTTTATTTATTTATTTTTTTAATGTGAACTGCCTTCAGTTTCTTGTTAATTTGGAAATTCAATATAACACAGAGACTAACAAATCCACAAAATCTCCAAATGTTAAGGTCAATCTCGCAATTTCGAGTTATCGGGCCAATTCTAAGGGAAAAAAAAACTTTTTTTCCTCTTAGAATAGTTTATATCTCCCAATTCTGACATTACAACACACAAATTTGACTTTACATCATGCATTTTTGACTTTATAACACGCAATTGCGACTTTATATCAATCAATTTTGGAATTATATCTCGCAATTCTGACTTAAAACACGCAATTGCGATTTCATATCACGCAATTCTGACTTTATATCTCACAATTCTGAGAAATAAAGTCTGAATTGTGAGATAAAAAGTCACAACCTTTTTTATTTTTTCATTCTGCGGCGGAAACAAGCTTCCGTACCTTTCGTACTTGATGAAAAAATGACAAAACCTTGACCTGTTTGTAATGCCAGAATAAGTTGAAAAGAAGTAAAATTACTAATGCAAATGTTGTTAAGTGTAAATTCGGTAAGATCACTGTTTTTCTCTTAAAATGCAGATCACTTCAAATTGGAGGACTGTGACACTAATACGGATTAAAAACTATGGGAATGCACATACAGAAACCAACAGATGATGTACTGTACTAGGGCCCTGTTTAAACGTGGAAGCATTTTCATCACCCCAATCAAAGTGGATGACTCTAAATACAGGTGTAAACGGGTCTAAATGTTTCCGGCTTGTCCACATGTGGCCACTTCCAGAGGTAGTCAAAAACACATTCAACCGAATTGATTTCGTAGTGTAAACGCTCATGTGGTCGAATGTGTTCAAACAGCCACAAAAGACCACCTCTCCGTCTACTGACCTGCGTAAACATTATGACACATATGTGTCATACATTCACCAGCTTATTTTGTCGTTTATAGAAAGATCTGAAAAAGATATATACAATACATATGTATCTACATTCATAGACAACAACTAGAGGTCTACCCTCTTGGAGATTTCGGGCCTCTCTGCTGGTGTGGAGCAGCAGTTACTGTAAAAGAGCAGCTGAAAACACAGTTGAGCGTAAATGAACAATGCAGCGCTTCACTTCAAAACACATTTAATTAAATCACCTTTTTACGATTTGATAATCTCACTGAAACGTACCGTGATTTTGATTAATTTTGCAGCAATACTAAACACCATCATTAGACTGCAAATCTTTTTTTTTCAGAAAGTAAACGTCTATTTACTGCAAATACAGAGCATTTGTGCTGAGACATTTTGTGCAAACAAAACCTGTGACATTGCATTTTTGCAAATTTGAAACGTTTGTATCTGATGATGTTAGTCATCTAACACTGTTCACCAAAAAGAACACACAAATACATCTAATGACCAAAGCAAATTTACAAAAATAAAGAAAAATATAGCTGCGAGCAGCGATGGCGGGCCCAAGCCGGTGGCACCGCAACCCCGGTTCCTTTAGTTACCTAAAGGCACCCGGGTGGCGGTGCCGAAGGCTTTGGCCCTTTCATGATTAAATGTTAAAACGGCTTGCCATACTCTGTCATTTCAACTAGTCAAAATTATGTTACAGATATCTTAAATGATAATACAAACTATCCAAAATGTAATTACGACTAGACAGAAAGACGTTGTTGATATCTACAATGTTAATTCCGGATAGGCAAACTTAGCTTTTAAATGTTAAAAGGGCT